GTAATTGGGCATGTAATAAATACCCTAACCCGTGCAAAAAAAAAAAAAAAAGGCCTTCAGCAAGAGTGCACATCTTGCCTGAATAGCTGTTTCTTTTCTTACTGAGATATTTAAGAATGTATGACAAGCCAGTTGAAATAAAACTTCCTATGTTTAAAAATAAATTGTATCAGGAAGCCCAGAACTTTGATTGAGTACTGAAGATAAAATGTACTGTACTACTGTAAGGACATATTCCCACCATTTTATATTAACAGCATGTCTCTGAAATGCAGTAAAATCTGCATCAGATTATAATGCAACGTGAAAGAGATCTCAGCATGTGCAATAACTTGATTCCACCATGATTGATTAAAATTTATTACTGTGTTGCTAAGTGACTTCATAATTGGCTTGAAAAGAGCAACCTCTTGGAAATCTTGATAAATGATTTTTAAACTGTGTCATGGTTTGTGTTAAATGCAATGTTTCTAAGGAGAGTAATATATTCAGCTTGAGTCTTTCTGTTCTTTTTCCATAGCCGGTTCTCTTTTATGCTTTTATTTTTCCACTGAGTTCTCACTGAAGTTTCAATTTTGTGGGCAGTATCATATACTTTTTTCTTTAATACTTTTAGTAACCATTGTATTTCTGTTTGATTATTAAACATTAAAAAGATACTATGGGAAAAATTCTGTCCACTCTGGAATTTTTTCTTTTCTTTTTCTCTCTTTTTTTTTTTTCTGTTCTTTTCAATGAAATTCTCTTAAATTATCTAGGGAAAATGACATATCAGTTTACCTTGATTTAGATATCATTTTCACTGTAATCTGTAGCAGAGTGAGCTTCAAGCATTGATCCCAGGACCCGTGCAGTGGGGTTCCACAGAGGAGCTTAACAGAGATCTTGAACGGTGCTAGCTTTTACAAGTGCAGATCCCACTGCTGGATGTGACACCACAGCATGGAGTTGTTGTCATCTTTTTTTTTTCCTCATTGAGTTTATTGGTACATTTGAGGTGTACCATACAGTACATTCATCATTAGGGTTTGTACCTTTACAGGATCTTGGTTCTTATATTTTCCCCACTCCCCTGCCCTCCCTTCACCTGCTTCACCCTTCCCTATTTACAAAGACTTTGTTTCCATTTTTTTCCTTCTTTAACTATTAGTTTAGAGTAGTCCTTAAGCAGAGGCCAGCATTTTTCTCTTTTTTGAGTCTAGAACATTTCACTGTCCTTTCTCCCTCTCCCCACCCCCTTTAACTTCCCTTTGTCCCACATCCATTAAGCAATTTCTGTTTACAAAGGAATAAGCTTTTGCTACACAGCACCATGCTTTGTTTTTTAAAAACTAGGCTGAACAAAAGACGGCAAGTACTCTAGATTTTAAGTACATGGAAAGAATTAAATTATACAAATATATGGGATAAAGTGTGATAGATGTACTCGGTGCAGTGATCAAATTAGAGTAGTTCATAATTTTATCTTAAGCTCTTAAACATTCTGGTAAAATTAATAATTGTACATATTTATGAGGAACAATGTGACATATCAGTACACCTATACAATATGTACTGATCAAATCGGAGTAATTAGCATATCCATCTCATTATTAGTAAGCATTGAAAGTGTTAAAAATTAATGTGCAGTTGTAGAAGTACATAGATCACAAATACAGCAGTGCCTTGACTCATGAGCTTAATTTGTTCTACAATCTTGGAAAAGACATCTACGTTTGTGTTTGTGCAGGAAAGGAGGCCGTGGTTGTCATCCAGTGCAGAGTTTGCAAACAAAATCGTTTGTGAACCAAGGTACCACTGTGTGTAGAGAGCTACTTCTACATGCTGTCATGGAATTTAGTCCAATTTAATCGAGGATTTGAGCTCAGTCTCCAGTTGTACTCAGAGAAAGTCTGAGGGTGACAAATAAGTAGCGCTCAGCGGTGCTAAAAGGGCTGGTAACCAAAAAAGAAGATCTCTATCCATCAGAGGCAGCAAGCAGCAGGCTCAGAACTACAGTCAGGGTATCGCTGCATTGTACACACCCTGTCTGCTGGTGTTTGTTGTCTACTTTAATTATTTTCTAAAATTTAGGAATTGGGATATTTCCTGTGAAAGTAAACATGAATTTTCAAGCATCTCTTAAAAAGGCCCACATCTTAAACATCCTGAAGCCTGCTTCCCCCGCAGGAAATGGTGAACCCAAATGCCTTGGGCAGCTCAGGCACCCAAAAGCATTAGAGTTAATGAGCTCTGCTGTGAACTCATCTCTGACATCATGGTAGCTTCCCTTTCCTTTTAAGACATTTTTGTTTTCTTTGCCTTGTATTCATCATCTTAGACAAGGCCCCAACTGCTGTGCAATCAGTGGCCAAGGAGACTCCCAGAGAGCTTCCACTGCCTGTCTCCTCCCAGGCAGGACAAATTGCATACCTTTCCCTGCAGGTGGCATCCTAGAGGGGCAGAAGACAGCAAGAGGAGGGACGGTGCCTCACAAAATCAGAGTCCAGAGTAGTTGCCACAAGTTATGTGCCTGTAATGAGAAGAGAAAGGGCTGGTAATGAACTGCATTAGGGAGTTGCTCAGGAGTAGTGGGAGAGAAGAAATAGGCAGCCAGGGAAAAAGATGAACTAAAAAGAAGGGGGATACAGCCAATAAGAACATGAAAAGATATTCATTATCACATCAGGAAAATCAAAAGTAAAACAATGAGATATACTACATATCTGCAAAGATGGATAAAATTAAATACCAGTGGACGCAAAGCAACTGGAATTCTCAAACGTTTCCAGAAGGAATGTGAAATAGAAAAAAGGTGAAAAATGAGAACCAAGACCTGTCATGTAAAGGTACAAGATCCCAATAACGAATGTAACTGTACTGTAGCCCTAAAATGTACCAATAAACTCAACTTAAAAAAAGAAAATAGTCTGGCATCTTTTTGATGAAGTTAAACACACATTCATCCTACGTATTTACCCCTAAGAAATGAAAACATGAATCCTTGCTAAAAGGTGTGCACAATATTCATAATGACCCCAGATGGGAATCAGTCCAGATGTCCCTCTATAGGTGACTGGAGAACAAATTATGGTACATCCATTCGCGGTGGCACAACTCTGCAATAAAAGTGGAGAACTTTGGATACACAAAATAATTTACTTTTTCTTAGTTATGCTAAGCCAAAGAAGTCACACTAATATTATTTGCAAATGAAATTTTAGAGGTAAAAGCAATCTAAAGTTACAGAAAGCAGATAAATGATTTCTTGGGGCTGAAAGTAAGAGAAATCTGACTTCAGAAGGGCATAAGGAAACTTTTTGAAGTGTTCAGACTGTTTTAGGTCTTGATAGGGATACAGGTTGCAGAAGTGTATAGCTGTTAAAACTTATAGAGCTATTTATTCGACATGTGTGTATTATTTCATGATAATTTTAACCTTAGTGATGTAGACTAAATAAAATTACTTTTACTAAGGCAGTCATTCCTAGGAGGGAAATAAATTCTCAACCAGAACAGGAGATAAGGCAGAGATGAGCAGCAAAGGGCATTACAGAGACCTCAGAGTACTAACTTGGTACCCAAATCAGTCTTTAGGAAACCTTAAAGGAGCTGTATGTGTTTCTTCTCCCAGAGCTGCCCTGAAAGGCACTCAGCATATTCTCTCAGCCTATCAGTCCCCCGTGAAGAACTTTCCATTTTTCTTCATTGCTCTCTACCACATTAAGCCCATCCACTTAGATTTGGAAATAAAGTTTTATTGGAATACAGCCGCACTCATTTGTGCATTTTCAGTGACTACTTTCATGCCACAACAGCACAGTGGATTTATTATGTGGCCCATGATAGAAAAAAATTGCCCATCCTTGACATAAAGCCACTTGTTTCCCCGACAGCTATGTCCCTTGTACTCTTGCCTACCTCTCTTGCCCTTTCTACTTAGACTTATTCTCCACTCCTGCCTTACACACTTCCGATTATAATCATTCATCATCTTATTGCCTCTAGCAGTCTTTTGTAATTGTCCAGCTTTCCAAATTTTAATTTTTTTCTTTCTGTCCTGTCTTTGTAAGTCCTATATCTAACTCAATTTGTCTTTTCCTTGAAGTTATCTCTTGATTGCTGCTATCCTGTTTTAATGTTTGAATGAGTTGATGTCCTCTGGTAAAGTCTTTCTTTGCTCTCATTGGGTTGCTTTTATATGTAACTGATCTAAAAACTGCTTAAGGAATTATTTCTTACATTTATACTTATTTCGTATATTTATACATTTGCAGCTTCCTTTCCCATTCCCACCCAATGTGCAGGGCACAATATATCTTTAATCTGCCCACTTCTGTCTCCACTCCCAGAGTCCCAGGTCATTGTCTTGTGCTAGGACTATTTCAGTGTTACCTTAATTGGTCTCTATGTTCTTGTCTTAGACCTCTTTTCTGTCTTCCAGATGAGAGTTAATATATTATTTTTTAAAGTAAATCAGATCATTTTACTGTTCTTAAAATGTTCCCTGTTATTTTCCTCCCCAAGGTGCCATTTTTCCCTTCCTACTTTCTCCATGACTCAGTTTTCCCAGGCACTTTTCAAGCTCACCACCTGGGTGGTGGTGATTCCTCCTCCTCCTGGAGTTTTCTTCTGCCCTGCTTTCCAGGGCTCCACACCTTGCATTGGGTCCACTCTCTTTGATGAGGCTTCTTTCTGCCGGGCACGAGAAGCCTGTGTCACATAACCTCATTTCTCTCTTCCAGGGAGGCAGCACAATCTGAAATCTACCTTCATTATGTACTCATTTTCTGCCTCTTCCCACCAGTTAAAAGCCACTGCGGGGGCAGAGATGTTGTCTATCTTGTTTGTCCCTAGATCCCCACACTAGTGCAGGATGTGACTTACAGAAACACTTACTGATTAACTGTTGAACGAATGAACACTTGAAGATACAGTAGACAAATAATACTCGATATTTAATCTTGCTTTTCTGCAAAATTTTCTTTTCCTAAAGATATTTTTAAATCTAATTCTTACAGGTACTTCCATTGTGACTGTAAAAGCATTTGCTCCTGATGCAGTCTGGGACATTATTAAATATTCAGTACTTAGTGGAAACAAAGATGAAGTTTTTTCCTTGGACTCCAACTCAGGTAATATTTCCCGACCTTACAATAAATAGCCTTGCTTCTGCTCCATTTAATGTTACTAGTAACAGATACTACTGCAAAATTTGAAGGGTAGAAATTATTAGAGGTAAATAATTTATAAGGTAAACAAGAAATTTTTTATGGAAGCCAGTGAGAAGTTGTGGGAAACCCAGAACCACATATATATTTGCTTATATATATTCACTAAGAATTCTACTCTAGTTATTGTCAAATTAGGCAGTGCCTATCCTGCCCTTTGAATTTTTTAAGATGAGTTGGCTTTTACTTATAATTTACCTACCCGTGTGGGGAAATTAGAGATCTAGTCAGGAGATCACTGACAGTGAGTTTGAATTGGAAATAAGCACACATGCCTAGCCTTAGGGAATTTTCATCAAAGAATCTAATTTGCCACTGAATGTCAGCAATGTAAAAAAAAGACAGCTGGAAAAGTCTCTGTGGTGGTAAAGAAATTGCTTCCAAATACAGCATGTATTAAATTTAACTTTAATAAGACCACGATTGTGTTTTAAATGAATACCAATTGATTATTTGAAACAGTCGTTTCTGACTAACAGCTGTATCTATTGCTTCACTGTCAAACGTAAGAAGAAAGTTTGCAGTAATTTCTGTACCGCCATACACACAACTGCCGTACTGATTCTGTAGTCCTGCCCACGGGAGAACAGAGAGGGGCACGTTCTCAGGTCAGAGCCTCTTCATCCGCGTGGTGCTCTGGCCTCTTGGCCCACACCGCCTGTGACCAGGAACCTTTCCGAGGCAGTGGGATGCAGCTCTTTATTGCCCACCACAGGGTTGAGTCACCAGACAACACAGGAAGCCTCTTGGCAAAAGACTAGGAAACGAAATTCCTCGTTTCTCACTCTCCAGGTGTCTAAGTGTGTTGGAAAAGGAAGTGTGATTAAAATGTGTAGGAAAAAAAAGGAGAACAGTAGAATCAGCACATTTTCTGGGCACATCCAAATCCTCCCGTCCTATCATGCGTCCCTGGTATGGCCTCCCCGCTTGAAATTTCCATATGAAAATGCAGACAAAGTCTACCTAAGATCACCCACACAAATCCATTTTTAAATTAGTTATAGTGCAATTTATTGAAACATTTTTAAGTATCTACAAGACGATATGCTAAAAGAACAATGGACAACTGAAACACAAGCGCGCAATTACCTGCCTCCAGTCTCAAGAAATAAGGTATTACTGGGACTTGTGGAACAGCCCCTGGAGCTAATTGATGTATGCCTTGCCGCATACCTGTCTTCTCTCTCCTCTGAAGCGATCAGAAACCCGAGTTTAGTATGGATCCTAACTCTGTGGCTCTTGCTGTAATTTTTCCATGGGGTTTGAAGCCCTAGATCATGCTTTCTTTTGTCACCCATTGTCAGAAATAAGGCACTGCTGGAACTTCAGGAGCCACCATATGACACAGCAGTCGTCACTGTAGGGACATCCTGTGCACCGTTCTGCAGCTAAATTTTCTGGTTCAAGAGTTTTACCAACTGACAGTGAATAAACCGTCCTATGGTACAGAAAGACTGCAAAGAGTGGTAGCAACTGTGTGCTCCTCTCTCGTTAGACTTAGCCTAACTACTTTATATATTTTTTGGTAAAGTACATGAAAAAAAATCTCTCTTTTGACTGCTGTTAATGATGCTTCAAAGCAACTTTTGTCTTTAGATTTGTGCATTGAGCAAGGTTGCAGATGCTTATTGATTCTGATATTTTTCAGTATATTCAACATAAACAATTACTCTCTGAAAATGACCATTTTCCCCTGTGCTTATTGGAAGTGATATTTTTTTCCTTTTAATGGCTAATCTAGTTATTTTGACATATATAATTAAAACCCAAAATGAGTAAATATACTCTCCCTGAATAACATGAGAGACTTTATCTCCAAATATTCATTTTATGGTTTACATGCTTTTGTTTACCATACTTTTATTTCTTTCAAATTGGGTACAAGTTGTATGTTTAAGTACAGTTAGTAGCATCTAAGCTAATGTCTTCGCAAACCTTTCTTACACGTCAGATTTTCCTCTGGCATCATTTTCTTTTTACCTGAAATATCTCTTTTAGGGATTTCAGAGTTTATTATCTAAAACAGTCTTCATTTAATCTTCCTCTGCTCTGTATTTTTGCTGTCTTGTAATTCTAGTCTTGCAGTTAATTTCTCTCCTCATATGTTATTCTGCTCTCTCCTGGGTTCCCATGACTGCAACAAGAAATGATATTCATTTGTACCTTTTCTTGCAATGCCAGTTAGATAAACGTTGGGCCAAAATACTCTCTCCTACATCTTTTTCACTTTTTGTCTCTTCTTCTCTTCAGTCTAAGGAAATTTATTTTTCATTTCCAGAAGTTATCTTTGGCTCTTTTTCAACTCTTTTTTTTTTTTTTTTTTGGTACCAGGGATCAAACTCGTGACCTTGCACTTGCGAGGCAGACAGCAGAACCACTGAGCTAAATCCCCAGCCCAACTCTTCCTTATCTTACAAAAAACAAATTTTTTGTCTCTCACTCATGTTTCCAAGGTTGTTTGTATATATTTAAGCAGTAGAGCTGGGGTGTAGTCCCAATCTCCAGCTCTGCTGAATATATGGATAGAATTCACAGAAGGTTGATTTTGCTGCCTGTGGATTTGCTTGCTGTTGTTCCTGTGATGTTGTGTATCTCCATGATTTTTGCACTTATTCACCGTGACCTTCTTGCTATCTTTGAAACTATTCCTTTGGGCGCCCTTTGAAACTTGGATTAAATTTGTCCCCTTTAAGAAGGATTTGCTCTCCCCTCAGATTCGCCGGAGACATCATCAAGCAGAAACTAGTTTAAGCTTAATTACTAATTTTTTAAAAAGATATATAACTAAGATAGTTTTTTGTTTTTTTGTTTTGGTTTGTTTTGTTTTGGTACCGGGGATTGAACTTGGGTCCTTGCGCTTGCAAGGCAGGCCACCGAACCGCTGAGCTAAATCCCGGCCCTATAACTAAGATAGTATGGCACCATAAATTCAGGAGTTTTTCTCTTCCTTTCACTCAACACCAATATCAAGAAATTCGGGCTTCTGTATATCAACTTTAGGGACTTTAAAAATATTGCTCACTTATTTAGCCTTTGGGTTTCCAACTACTTGCTGATTTTTCCTACTAGCCTCTTAACTTTTTGTGGAGTTTTCTCACCTTATTTTCCATGCAGTCCTCAATGGTGTGTGTCAAGGTCGGAAGTTGTAGTGGAACCCCTGGGACAAACATGGAAGTTCTCGTGCCTACTTAGCTCTGCCCATTCCTGTGTTCAGTCTTGTTCTGTCCTCTGAGGACCCTTTACTTCTGTAACTCAGTAATGCATTTCAGTGCAGACACATGCACGTGAATAACATGCCCATGACTTCTCAAGTATTTTGATTGTTTTCCATACGACAGTCATTCAAGTGTATTGTTTACCACTGCTGTCATGAAAACTTCAGCAAAACCTTATGCTATTAGATACATCTTTCATACTACTTTTGAAACATTATCGTTAAACTTAGGTCAAAAGGTACCTAACATAAATTATATGGATGTATGTATTTTAAACAACAGACCTATGGAAATAGAAAACTTGAATATGATAAACTAGTAAAATCGATCTCTAACATTGTGCTCATGTAAAGCGGCCCTGTTCCATACTTACAAACTAAGGGTTGACTTTTGCATGTAAACTTCATGCCATTTTGGATTAGAAACATCTCGGCCCATCTAGACCAGCAGGAATGTCAGAGTTGACTAAGACTGTGTATGTAAATAACAGATGGTAATACTCAGTCCATTATTGGATAGATTGACGTAAGACAAAAACGATCAAACTTTCAATGTTTCAAAGACGTAGTTGTAGCCGGAGAACATTTAAAACCACTGGATAACATAAATATTTGTCACATTCTGCTTAGGTTTATGCAGCTCCGTGTGCACAGTGTATAACTCACTGAAGTAACCTGATCATGGTAGCCAGCACGCAGCATGTGAAGAGTCTTTACCTCATTTTGATATGTATTGCATAACTTGGACAAAAGCTGTCGGTGTGCATATATTGGAAGGAAAATATGACTACAGTTTTGTTCTCAGATTATACAACTGGTATATAATGTATGAGCAGGAAGATGAAGGTGCTATTGGCAAGGCTTCTTTCTCGCTCTTAAAAAGTGTGGATTTCTGTGCAGGCCATTGGAGGAAGCTCATTAGTACTTTCGTCTCATAAATGATTATGTCCTTGATGTCTCTGGGAAAATATGTGCGTATCATCGAAGGTTAAATGTGAATTTAGTCGGTGTGCCAGCCTTGAGTCATCTCTCACTGCATATTGTCTTTGCCAATTGCACAACTTTCACAGCATGTGCCGGCTATTACACCAAAAATAAAAACCAAGCAAAGAAAACATTAGAACCGTAGATGCATTCCAAGTGCAGAATTCCAATAATCAAAGCCTAAACACAAGACTTTTATTAAAAATTCCACTTTGATCTGCCCCATAATTGGCTCGCTTTTTTCTACTAAATGACACTGGCAATTTAGTGTTGCATTTCTATTTTACTTTTTTCTGCACTAACAGTAACACAATAGTATGATAACATGATGCTCTGTTTGCTAGAGAGCTGTGGACCACGTCAAACTTGGGGTTCTTCTGCCATTTGGGGGTGCAGGGATCAGCCCTCGTGCCACAGAGGTTTAAGAAGACCAGCTTGCTTTCCTCACCAGCCCATAAAATACTTCTTCACAATTCCCCAGCTGCTCCATCTATCCTCTAACTTAATGTCAACAGTGCTGGTACAATAGACTGTGGTTTGTAAAAGAAATTTGGTCCTTGTACGAAATCAGTATTTAAATCTGAGGTCAAAAAATGATGGTGAATTTATGACACTTTAAATTTTTTAGGATAGTGAATTCTTAATATAAGATAAAATATTCCATTTTTTCTTATCAACAGAATATAAACTATAAAATCTTCTCTCAAATACCCAACATCAAAGATAAACTATTAAAACAGGGCATGATTCCTACCGGTATCCAAGTAATTACCAGATGACCTGAAGTTGTTTTGGACTAGGTTCGTTATCTGTTGCAAGTGGTTCACACAGCCACAGCAGTGGTTTCAGGGCCATATTAAAAGCAACAAAAAAAGAATCTTTCACCAGCACATCAAACTTCTCAAGGTCTATGTGTATTAAATTCTAAATTCACAGTTTACAAAGTACTAACCCTGTGCTATGTTGTGTCCTGTGATGTAGGGGCAAACAAATCTGGGTGACTCATCCTGAAGTCTGCACATGAGAACATGTCATGCAGGCCTTATGTCACTTGCTTACAGTTGCCCAGAAGTCATTATGATATCTCCATGTTATATAGAAGAGGAGCCTTAGCATTCTAGGACCTCAATAACTTGCTCCAGGTCCCAAGAATCAGTAGTGGTGCCAAGTGCTTCACCAAAACTAAATAGCCAGCATTGGGATTTGTTCTTGATTTGAGGTATCTCCAGCTCATTCAGTAAATCTCCATTTTATAGAACTTCTGATAGTGAAAACCCAATTAAATATAATAGTAATAATAATATGAAATTGGATCTGACATTTTGGTTTAAAGTGGAGGAGAAAACAAAGTAGAATTTTAAGAAGGAAATGAATTTCTAAATTTGGGGGTGAATCTTGAACATGGCACCACCCCCCAAAAGTCCACCTCTGTGAGGCTAGGAGACAGGAAACAGTCCTCACCTTGGGCGGCTTGTGGCTGCCACAGGTAAGCAAAGCAGTGATGCAGTCCGTGGGGCTGATGTGATGACTGAGACGGGTCAGGAAGGGCTCCAGAGAGGCCTGCATGGGGCCATTCCCTGTGGTCGGAAAGGCACCGAGGTAACACTGCAGTGAGCATTCAGGACACCCAGGACCGAGGGGCACATTGTGACCAGGGCAGAGAGGGCAAAGGGAAAAGAAACAGATGCAGCCTGGGAGGTGGGAGAGGCCTGAGCAAGGACTCGTGCAGGCTGAAGATGCTAAACTCTTAACACAGTAGCTGTGGAAAGTCACAGAAGGGACTGTGTGTGACAGCGCCCTCCTTTGGTCCAAAGTGGAAACTGGATCGGTGGGGAAAGCACTTGAGTGGCAGCTGCAGGGGACAAGGAGGGAAATGATGATGACCAGGAGGAGGGCAGCTGCAGCCCAGGTGGAGAGATGCTGGAACGATGGACTTTGCAGAGAAGGTGACGGCCAGCTGTGGGGGAGAAGGGGATTAAGAGGGTTCCAGAATCTCAGCTGTTTCGTTCATTCTTCCTTTCTAGCTGTTTGAACTCAGCAAATATATATTAAATTCCCAATTCTTCGCAAGGACACAGGTCGATAGGGACAGGGGCTTTTGACAGTCAGGTGAGCACATGAGACTAAGAGCCGTGGTGATTTGAGACATTTTATAAATGAAATCATTTTCATTTTTTTTCCTCCTTGTCAATAAAATTAGGACAACTGACTGTGAAAGAACCCAAATTCCTTGATTTTGAAGTCAGGGATGAAGTACAGCTCATCATTTTAGCTGAAAGCAGTGAGCACAGAGCCTACAGCAAAGTAGCAGTCTCGATAGAGGATGTGAATGATAACGTTCCATGCTTTGAGCAAAGTGTTTACCAAGCATCAGTGTCTGAAGGCCAGGGCTCCAGCGCCCACGTCATCCAGGTAACAGGAATGTGTGTGTCCTTGGGGTGTAGGGTGTGGATCATTTTCAAGCCGTGTACTTCAAAACATGTAAGGCCTACATCCAGCACATACATTTTAAGTGTCTTCTGGGAGTGGGCCCTGTTTGGTGGATTGGATAAAACTCTTGACTGAAGGAAATCTGAGGCTTCTGCCTGCACACTTCCTCTTCGTGCAGTGTTCAGTACCCAGCCACTTGCTTTCTCCAGGGACTGAGCATTACCCTGGAACAGGGGACATGACAGGGACACGAGAAATAACAGCTTAGAAACACACACAGTCTAGTGGGGAAGCTGGAAATGTAAGTTTTTATATTAAATGTACCTTATGTTTAATTTTATGAAGCATCATATAATTAATGTTTAATAAGCTTGCATTTAGTGTCCAGATAGAAAGAGGTGAGAGATTCTGAACCATTGCTCCACAGAAGATTGACCCTCACAGCCTTAAAGGGTGAGCAGCCGTGTAGACAGATCTGCAAGTCTGTTCGCCAGGCAGTTTGGCTCTGGCTCTAATCCCCACCCACCTTTGATGATTTCTCTCTGTGCATCAAAGCTGTTGTCCGTATTTCCTTCACTGCTGAACTTAGCCTTTGCAGTTGTGAAGGTGGACAACAGAAGGTCTGTCCCTCCCTGTCAAAGGCAGACATGGAGCAGGACATTTCCTTTGGCCTCTGGAATTTTGCGGATGTGATCCACAGCTCATGCCAATATTTACATCACAGGCCCTCTCTCGGGCATAGGCAGGGTCAGAACACTGCACAACACAGATGCACTTTCTGGACAGGACAGCCAATAGTTCTGTGCCACCTGACTACCTTTACCTGAAATATGTATACAGAGACTCCTTTTTACTTGAAGGCCAGTTTCTGACACACACCATCCCCTCTGTCAGGGGAAACCAACAGACTCTGAAGTCCTAGAGGTTTATTTCTGCACCCAGCATATCCTCTTAGCTACTACTACAGACTGATTTCATCCTGTAGCATATATTTTGTATTATTGCTGCAATCACTCCCTGTTACTGCTTTGCTTTTGTCTCGGCCAAGACTGGGATGTTTAAGAAAGCAAGAACATCCACTTTCCCAATCACTGTGAAAGTGAATGTCCTCACCTTGGCGGTGGCCCTGGTTCTACCTTGTCACCAGAGGATCCCCACACCGCGGCCTAAGCTTTGCGCTTCTCTCTCTGTGGTGTGAACAGGGTCAGTGTGCCCAGAGTAGAGTAAATGCACAGGAGGACGCCCGCCACGCCAGGTGCACCCATGGGACCCAGCTGACCTGCTGGAGCTTCAGGCTCTGGTACCCTTCTGGAAGCTCAAGTCAGAGGTGGGCACAGTGAGCTTTGCTAGCTTCCGGGGAGCTAGCGCTGCCATACCCTGTCCCCAGAAAGGCACAGGAGGCCCTGGGGGCTTTACCCTCTGGAGAGGCGCCTCCCCCTCTTGCACCACAGTGTGCACGTGCGCTCCCTGCCCTTGAGGCTCTGGCCCTGCAGTGGGGTGCAGACTCAGTAGGACGGTCAGAGCATGGCCCAGCTCCCGTCCCGTGTGAGTTACCTCTGTCTCAGACACTCGGATGTTCTCTCTGGAATTTTTTCTTAGTAGTATGCTTGCAATACATAACTGCATTCCTCTAGGGAGTCACATCTTGTTTCTTTTTCATCGCCTTCCTCCCCACCATCTCTTGATCCCCTTTCCTTTTATCAGAGATCTGCCTCCCTATTTCCTATCATCTGTCCTTCATTTTACTCCTCCATTTATTTAGGAATTTGAATCTTGCATGAGGAGACATCCAGACAAAGTAGAGTGCCATCTTATCACCTCATCAAGCCTGGGGCGCTGTGCGCGGGTGGGTCCCCACGGCTGCTGGGGTTCTTGTGCTCACCAGACACTAGCATTGTGATGCATTTCTTCCCTGGTGAAATTAGCCGCCAAGGCTGTGTGCTGCCAGGCAGCCCAGAATGCTCCAGTTGGCCGCCCTCGCAAGCCCGCCCTGTACCACACTTAACCTTACGGCTCCAGGGGGTCCGGTCTCTTCCTGGAGATCCCAAAGGACACTGTGTGTGGCTGCCTTTCTGCATCAAAAAGCTGCTGTGGGAGCCCTTCTGATGAGATCCTGTGAGCTGCCCCTGGGCCACTTAGGTCCCCAGAAAACTCTGGCCTTGGTGCAAAGGATGGATTTGGAGAGGAAAATTGGAAGCAAAATCCACTGTGAGGTCATCAGTGTAGCAGCCAGAAAGGTGATGACAGGAGGGTCACAGAAAATGTAAAAAAAATAAAGTTTAACAAGTCTCAGACTTGTTCTTCAATGAGGTCTTGAATCCACTGACACGGTTGGCTCAGTGACTGAAACTGAACTCAGACTGAACAACGTGTCACTGTGAAGAATGTTCTAGAACTTCTCCATCCCACTATTATGACAATTTAACAGAATCGGGATCTCAGTTTGGTAGCACCAACTGTAGGTTTTGTTTTATTTTTCAGAGATCCCTTTAAACTGAAAGTTTAATACAGTATAAAAATGTATACAAAGCCTATTTTAAAGGTGCTACTTTAAATAGGAAAAAAAAAAGGACAAATGAAAAAAGTATCATTCACTATATAAAGGTTTACTATAATATCACTCTGGTGTAACCATGAATCCATAGACAATACTAGAAATCATATATTCAAGAAAATTAGATATTTTTCCAGTAATTTTGCCTGCTGCCTAAAATGACAGCTCAACAGCCTGTGAAAGTTATTTGGAAATCCTTTGGATGAGTGTCCAGGAAATGTCCTCTCCTGTCCCTCACTTTATGATAAAGTTAAATGTACATTTCAGCTGCTGCTTGTTGTCCTTTTGATTGCTGTTTTTTAAAATGCGTTTGACAATTGTGACTCTTTTCATAATGCATTTCTTTGGAAGGTAGGCTCAGCCCATATTGCAGACTAAGTCCCTTCTCACAGGTAGTTGGCTCCTCACAGGTAACTGCTTCTGACCTGGACAGTGGGTTGAATGGTGTCATCGAGTACTCCATTGTCTCTGGAAACCAAGGAGAAGCCTTCCGGATCAGTGCACTGAGTGGTGAGGTTACTACCAATGTGCTTCTGGATCGCGAGACCACCTGTTCCTACAGGTATGTCCAGGATCCCCGGCTCTTCTGCCCGGTTTCTGTCGACTTTGTGGCTTTGGGCTCAGTTTCCTGTTGCGTAAACTGAGTTGTCAACAGCTCTTTCCCTTTGATCCAGCTTGTGATCCATATGTCGGGGTTGACATGTTAACGTCATCTTAGAAATTATTTGCTGTTTGCAAGCAGTGATTAGAAGAGTTCTTAGAGTTTGTGAATGTGTGATGCTGCAAGGACCTGGTAAGAGACATGAAGGATACAGTGCAGAGCCCTCTGAAAATGTTTCTTGGTACTGTTTTTAAAGGCAGTAAAGAGTGAATGTCATTTCTCTTTTTAATTGTATGCTTTTATTTTGTATGTGGAAGTACAACCTTGTTGCCAGGGTCCTTTTTGCGGTATTTTGTTCCAGTAGAAACACTATTAAAAGCATGGTTTCAATATCAGATTTTTTTGTTTGAAGTCCAAGGTGCCAGCCTTATGCAGAATTCTATGAAAGAGAGAGAGTCATGATGTAATGGTTCTAGTTATTAAAAAGTCAATGCCTTTTAGCGTAGTCTAGAAATCTAGACAATATACAGAGTTATTTTATGGCATCCCAAGCTATAAAATCAAAAGAAGCCTAGAATGTCCATGAGTGGATGTTGCTGAAAGGATAATGGTACAGCCTTTCAGTGGAACACCATGAACCTGATTTTTATAAAGAAAGGCATAGGTCTGTATTTGCTGACTAGGATAGAGCTCTAGGTCCCTGACTGTGAGGGAAACAGCAAGGTGCACCATGGTGCTTATACAGCATGACTATTGACAGAAAAGCAGACTCATATACTTGGTGGAATGTAACTTGCTATATCTCTGGAGATACAATAGGGAAATCTGTGGTCCACCAGGAGCTTAGTCTTCTTATTGTGTATTTTACTAAGCATTGTATTTACATGGTTTTGTCAAAAGTCACATATAGTACAGTGGTCTCCCCTTTTCCTTTCTAAAACTCCCATTAGAGACTCAAAACTTGGTACTTTTCTATACATAGTGATTGTTTTCCTCTGTAACCCTGCCTGAAGCCTTACTGTGTAGCATCAGAGTTAATCTTTTCTTCCTTTGCATCACTAATCTTGGTCTTTAGGGCCACTCATAAGTAAAAGTGTGTTCCTCCAGCACACGCCCTTCTTGCCACAGTAGTCAATCTGCCAACAGAGATGACTAATAGTAACTACAAGGCGAGTGCTGTGCACAGTGTGGATGCTCTGGACAAAGGAGGAACCCACATCCTGGGTGGGACAGAGCTGGGGAACATGAAGTCACATCCTGTGGCTAAGCAATGAGAACTGATTAAAATGTAACACATTACTTGGTAGATTAGAAAAATGTCCCAATTCTGAAAGTTTAAATATCTTTTTTGTTGTTGTTTAATGTATCTCAAAACATTACTTACAATATTTAAAAAATGAAAACCTTAACATACATTAAATATTAGGAAAATTTTAGTAATATTAGGAAAATTTAGAGCAATTAAATGTAATTTTAACACACCATTGTGTTAAGCCCTATTCTCACTGCTGTTTCTATAATGATTTTGCCTGTGAGTGTGGTCCCCTCCATGAATAAAGCTAGGTGAGCCCCGCCCCCCTGCTATTGCTATTGATTACAAGTTCAGAGGCTTCAGATAGTCTGCTTCCTTCCAGCAGCTAAGCACTATCCAGTTGCAATGACTTTTCTGTTGTGGGGTTCTTCTTACTGACTCAGTAGAGCCAATTAAACCTAACCTTATTCACCTCTTTCCTGTTTGCATCGTGATTTCTGTTCCTAACATTCAGATTGGCCCCCATACTTTAGGACACTTTTCTCCAGTTCCCCAGGAAGACTTTAATTCAAGGTCAGGAGAAGCAACAACTGAGAAGTTGAAGTGCTCCCCCCTTCCACTGACACTGAGAGATGCACACAGAGAATGACGTGCACAGTCACAAACACACACACACACACACACACACACACACACACACACACACGCACGTGCAATCTCCAGCCTCCAAGGCCAGAACCCAGTTTTTTTTCAGCTTTACTTGAGTTTATTGGTACATTTTAGGGATACAGTACAGTTATATTCATTATTGGGATCTTGTACCTTTACATGACAGGTCTTGGTTCTCATTTTTTCCCCTTGTCCCTGCCCTCCCTTCACCCCCTCCTCCCCTCCCCATCTACAATCACTTTATTTCCATCTTTTCATTATCACGTATTTTTCTTTTCCCTTATTACCCTTTCCCTACCCATCCCACCTTCCCTACACCTTTAGCTCCTTTATTCTCATTTCACAATGTCAGTAATCTTATTTAGGATCTTATGTACCATTATAGTTTATTCACACCAGAGAAACTATTCAGTATCTACACGTGTGCCTTATTTATTTCACTTAGGAGTATATCTTCAATATGTATCCATTTTCCTATGAATGAATCTAATTTCTCACAATTTATGGCTGAGTAGTATTCCATTTTATAGAAAAACCACATCTTCTTTATCCAGTTTCCAACTGAGGGCAAATGGGCTGTTTCCAAGTTTTAGCTATCACACACTGTGCCGCTGTTTTGTTTTTGGAAATTGCCACGTGTGTGTGCGTAGAACACCTTGGTCATTTGCAATCCCGTAATCCCCTCTCCTTCCCCCACCTGTTTTCTCCATCTTCACAGTCTGCCATCCATTTGCTTCTCATACCTCCATTCATTGAGTATTTTTAGGCTTTGTATGTCAGAAATCACACGTGACTTGGACTTTCTGAATCTGACTTACTCAGTTTAACATGATGCCCTTGACCCTGAGGGAGTATTTTAAACTTCTTGCTCTCCTGTCTGTCCCACCTGTGCCTACCTGGTAGCTCCTATTTTTCTGTAATGTTTTCCTGGATATTCAAGGTAGTGAACACTGTAGGGTGATCCCCCCACCATTCTTCTACACCATCAGTGAATGGTTTGAAAATGGTGTCCTTTAGCTTTCAACTTTTCTTCCCTTTTGAAGTATTACTATTTTATCACTGAGGAAAACATTTCTAATTCCAGCCCTTTCTTTTCAAAACATAAAATGAAGGAATAAATGAAGATGGGTTCAGTTATGATTCTACTAAATATAAATGCATTAGAAAATTTTAGGTTTTTTTCTCTCATTGAGTTTATTGGTACATTTTAGGTATACTGTACAGTTACATTCATCATTGGGATCCTGTACCTTTACATGACAGGTCTTGGTTCTCATTTTTTCCCCTTGTCCCTGCCCTCCCTTCACCCCGTCCTCCCTTCCCTATTTACAAATACTTTATTTCCATTTTTTCATTTTATCATTTTTTTTTATTTTCCCTTATTAGCTTTCCCCTACCTTTTCCACTTTCCCTACACCTTTAGCACTTTTCCTATTCTACATTGTCAATTATATCATTCGGATCTTATGTACCATTATAGTTTTTCATACCAGAAAAGCTATTCGGTATTTATATGTGTGTGACTTATTTATTTCATGTAGGAGTACATCCTCAATATGTATCCATTGTCCTATGAATGACTCTAATTTCTCATTCTTTATGGCTCTGCAGTATTCCATTTTATAGAAAAAAACCACATCTTTATCCAGTCTCCAACTGATGGGCAAATGAGCTGTTTCCAAGTTTTAGCTATTACAAACTTTGCTGCTATAAACATAGGTGCACATATATCACTGTGATATGGTTCTTTTAATTCTTTTGGAAAGATACCCAGCAGAGGGATAGCTGGGTCAAATGGAAGGAACCTCTAGTCCCAGCTCCTTGAGGTATCTCCATATTGATTTTCACAGTGGTTGCACCAGTCTGCACTCCCACCAACAATACAGAAGGGTTCCTTTATCCCTACAACCCCACCAACATTTTTTATTGTGTGATTTCTTGGTAGCAGCCATTCTTTGTGGGGTGAGGTAGAATCTCAGAGTTGTTTTCATCTGCATCTCTCCAATGACCAGTGATGTGGAACATTTTCTCATATGTCTATTGGCTGCTTTTACTTCTTTGTCTGAGCAATGTCTGTTCATTTCAGATGCCCATGTTTGAATTGGGTCTTTATATTTGGGGGTGGGCTGGTTTTCTTGAGTTCTTTATATATTCTAGATAAGAGCCCTTTGTCTGAGGAGCAGCTGGTAAAAAATTTTTCCCACATTGTAGGTTGTCTTTTAGTTCTGTTGATGGTTTCTTTTGCAGGGCAGAAGCTTTTTAATGAGATGAGATCCCACTTGTTGATTCTTTCTGCTAGTTCCCATGCTACTGAGGATTTGTTCATAAAGTCTTTTCCTATGCCATTGTCTTCAAGACTTCTGCCTAACTTATCTTCCAGCAAATTTAGTGATTCTTTTTAAATATTTAGATCTTTAATCCACTTGGATTTTACTTTAGTGCATGATGAAAGATAAGGGTCTACTTTTAATCTTTGGTAGATTGAAATCCAGTTTTTCCAACACCATTTATTAAACATGATATCTTGCCTCCAGTGAGGATGGCTGGCTCCTTTGTCAAAGATGAGGTAGCTGAGTACATCTGGAGTTGTTTCTGTATCTTCCAATCTGTTCCACTGATCCTCAGGTCTGTTTCTTTGCCAGTACCATACTGGTTTTATACAGTGGCTTTGTAGTGTAGTTTCAAGTTGGGAATTGTTCTACCCGCTGCCATGTCTCTGTTGCCTAGGATGGCTTTTGCTATTCTAGGTCCCTTCTGGTTCCAAATGAATTTTTGGATGATTTTTTCTAGTTCTGTGAAATACACCGTTGGACTTTCAATCAGCATTGCATTGACTCTATATAGCAGTTTTGGTAGTATGACCATTTTCACTATGTTGATTCTTCCTACCCAGGAGCAGAGGATATCTTTCCATTTATTTATGTCCTCTTCAATCTCTGTTTTCGGAGTGCTATAGTTTTCAGTGTAGAGGTCTTTTGCTTCTTTTGTTAGATTGATTCCTAGATACTTCATTTTTTTGGATGCTTTATGAAAGGAATTATTTTCCTAATTTCTCTCTCAGTGAGTCTGTTATTTGTGTACAAAAAGGCTATTGATTTTTGATCCAGTTACTCTGATAAGGGTGTCAATAATTAAGTCTAGAAGTCTTTTGGTGGAATTTTTTGGGTCTTCAATGTAGAGTATCATATCATCAGCAAATGACAGTTTAACTTCTTCCTTTCCTATCTTTATTGCTTTAATTTCTTTCTCTTATCTAATTGCTGTGGCTAATATTTTCATAACTATATTGAAGAGGAGTGGTTATAGAGGGCATCCTTGTCTTGTTCCTGAATTTAACGTGAAGGTTTTCAGTTTTTGACCATTTAATATGATGTTGGCTGTTGGTTATTCATAGATGGCTTTTATTAAGTTGAGATATAGACCATGTATTCCAATTTTTGCAGGGTTTTCATCATGAATGGGTGTTGGATTTTGTCAGATGCTTTTTCTGCATCTATTGAAAGCATCATATGGTTTTTGTCCTTGACTCTGTTAATATAGTGTATTACATTTATTGACGTGCATATGTTGAACCATCCTTGCATCCCTGGAATAAATCTGACTTGTTCAGGATGTAAGATCTTCTTGAAGATCCTCCGTATTCTTTTTGTTCTTCTGTTGAGTTTCTGGGGTCTTGATTATTATATGTCTAGGTGTAGATGATTTTTGACCATGGCTAGTTGGAGTCCTATATGCCTCACTTATCTGTATGTCAAATTCTTCCCCTGTTTGGGGAGTTTTCTGTCATTATTTCTGAGAACAGATTCTTTAGGTCATTTGTATTTTCTCCTGCTACTTCATGGATTCCTATCAGTCTTATGTTATTCTTCTTTGCATCATCTAGGAGTTGTTGGATTTATTTCTTATAATCCCTTACTGATTTTAAGAGACCTTTCTTTTCATGATCACTGACTGCAATCCTATCTTCTATATCTGAAATTCTATCTTCACATTCTTTTATCCTGCTGTAAAAACTTCAGTAGAATTTTTAATCTCCTGGATATCTGTTTGAATCTGTTTCATGGATTCCATTTCTTTTCTATGTTGGGCATTCATTGTTTCCATTTCTTTCTTATGCTGGGCATTCATGGCTTCTATCGTGGCCCTGAGCTCTTCTATTTTTTTTTTGTTTGTTTGTTTTTGTCAGTTTCTGTTCTAGGGTCTGGAATTATGACTCTCATTTTGCTCACCATCTCTATGGTTATCTGGGAAATTATTTCTGTTTTGAATTTTTCTACAGCCTGATTGATCTGTTTTGTTACTTCCTGTGCTATGTGTTCAGGGTATCCTGGTGGTTCACCGTTAGACTTTTCATACTCATTTGCCCTACTGTTTGCCATTTGTAAACTGGAAGTCTGTCTTTGTGTGTTGCTTAAGTGTTTCTCATTTTTATTTTTGTTTTTGGGTTGTTGAGTATATTCTTTGATGTGGGTTTCTACTTATGCTGAATATTTAAGTAAAGACATATTTCTATTTTCATGCATTATTTCATTGATCATTTTCTCTTGTTTTTTTTTTTTTTGTTGTTGTTGTTGGTTTCTTTTTGTTTGTTTTATTTTGCTTCTTTTCCTTTTTATTTTTCTAGGATCCAGAAAAATAAAAAGCAAAATAATCAGGAGTTATACTGCCTTGATGATTCCTTTATTAGTTATATTTTATTTCCCACATTGCAACTCTTGGTTTGGTTATTGCCTTATTTTTGTTGCTTTGTTTTCTTGCAAATATTTTCTTAGTTTTAATCTTCTTAATCATTCTTTTTTGTTCCCTGTTAAACATTGTGGAAATATTATATATTTATATATAGTTTTTTAGAAGCTATTACATAATATTTAACCTTTTCTATAGTATGGTGACCTTGTTTCCTTATCATCCTTTGAGTTTTATCTTGGGGAAAAGAGGAAATAAACTTGCGAAGGTGTCCTGCCACCTTTAACTAGAAACTATGGTTCTTTGAAAAGTGTTATCAATGTTAGTTAATATTTAAATTTTTTCTTAGAACTTGAGAAGTAACAAAAATTCTTAGTAAACACATAAGATAGAGCTGAGAGAGTCTTTTGAAATATTCTCCTCTAAGAATTTAAGTTTTTCAGGCAATCAAAAAGATACCCTGTCTGTCCAGACGCTTGTTTCAAATTTAGAAGGAAGCTTTGTATAGTTGGAAGATATGCTGTGAACCCAGAGCAGGCTTGTGCTTTACTTCTCATGTGTACTCTTTGCTGATCCTGTGAATCTGGAAGCCCAGTGGACTGGCTGCAAGCAACAGCTTCACATCAGCCACCAAAGACCATCACGGGTGGCTGGAGATCTTGTGACATCCTGTGCAGAATCCGTGCAGACCCACTTTTGTTGCTTTTCATTGTTCTTCAGACCAGTGACAACCATTTTTGTGCCCGTTTATTTTGAAACCAAATAGCACATTTCCCTCCTATCAAAGAAACTCATTTTTGTTTTGAACTAACACATGCATTACATAGAATCCCTGAGGTTGTGCCATCACTAAAGTTAGGGTGGTGTTGTCTGTAGGAGATGAGTTGAAAACTTAACTGTGATGTCTGGCTGACACTGTAGATTGCATTAGGTAGGGGCAGGTAGCAGGGGTAGTTGATAAAATATTTCCATGGCACCTGATGGATAGCCAGGCTTTAAAAAAACCTTCCACATGAAAGGATTCCTAGGGTCCTTAATTCTGACTCTTCAAAGGCTGCCCTGATAATGTAGAAGGCAGCAGCCTGTAAGCTTCATGAAGGGTGGAGAGACAGTGACCGTTTTCTGTTCACTGGAGTCTAAACCAAGGAAGAGTGATGCTAGCTACAAATGTTGGCCCATATGTGTGATCCCAGCACTCTGGGAGGCTGAGGCAGGAGTTTGGCAAGTTCAAAGCCAGACTGCCCAATTTAGGGACTGGGTGAGGCCCTGTCTCAAAATAAAAAGTACAAAATGGCTGGGGATGTAGCTCGGCAGGAAGGTCCTAGGTTCCATTACTAGTAGCACAATAAAGTAAATAAACAGAGTTGGCACTTATTTTGCATCATTTTAAAATTTAAGATTGGGAAAGGAAATGACACTTCCAAGAGGTTAACAATGGAAAAAAAGCAATATGTCTACTTCCAAGACTTGGTTTCTTAGAAGGTCATCTCCACAGCTGCCTAAGATGAACATCATCATGAAAATAAAGTTGCCATCTGATTTACAACTCCTTTTACTGTTTGGCTGCCTCTGCCTTGGCCTTCACACTGCTTAGAAGGGAGCAAATAATAAGCTACCGATGACATACCAAGCTGTTGTGTATTCACAGCAAGGATGTCATGTAGTGAGGTGCAGCTTTCCCCACAACCATGCCCCAGCTGGATTCGGCTCTCAGAGCACACGTGTAACTATAGGCAAATCACGACAAACCACAGATGACAGGTGTTCAGAAAAATGAGACGATGGCCATCTGCTCTCAAGAAACTTACAGAAGAAGCAGGCAGATAAGCAATTAGGAACAAAAAGTGATGCTGGACATAGCAGAAGACTGTGGGTGATGCTGTGGAAGTGAATAAAGTGGTAACCAGATCAGACCAGAGGCCAGTGAAATCTTGGCAAGGATGCGAGCTTTGAAAGATGAGGAGGACAGAGGCAGAAGCCAGACAGGGAAGCTCCTCGGTCTGTGCTCAGGGCTGGACAGCATTGGCTTGGAGAGCTGGGAAAGGCTTTAAAAAGGGGGGCCAGGTTTTTCAATTAAAATTTTAGAGCAACCACAATGAGGAAGCTGGATAGAGCAGGTGAGACTTGGAGTGGAGAGGTGGGTGAGTTAGCAAGCACTACAGGTGAGAATGATGAGGGCTTGGCCTCGGCAACTAGCCTGTCCATGCATACCCAGGTCTTTCCTGCATCTACTGCTGGAAACGTGTATGGACCGCAAGTCCATGGACCAGGTAACCTTTAGGCCCAGATGGGATGGAAACAGGATGGTTGCTTACCCTACCCGCAGCACTGCAGTGATAAAACAGAACATAAACCCAGGTGACATTCGGGGAGGAGACTATGCCTTACAATTCATTGATGTTGTAAGGGTGCTGAAAAAAGGGGGGAAGTTGAACCTGGTAAGAAGATGTGTAGCTTGGTTGATGGAGATACTCATTATAGCATGTAAATTCTTTAAGATGATGGCCCCTTCCCTCTACAGTCCTAGCCAATCATGTATCTTTCCAATGTATATTAACCGTAGCAGTGTCCTCACTTAACTCTATAATTTTGATTGATTTGGAATTTGGATCTGTAAAGCATCAGTACAAAACAGTCTTCCTGTGGTTGTATCTTGTGTTGTTGGTACAGTGAGATGGAAATATGTAGCAACACCCACATTATGCAGGACAGCATGGAGGCCTCTAAACTGCAGGTATTGGTACTTATTTTTAGGTTTTTAATAAGATTGAGATCAATTTTTATAATCTGTCTCCCTGAAGTGATAAATTTGTTTTGACATTAATGTTTCATGACCTCTGGCAATTTTCTGGATTTGGTTCTTTAAACATGTCAAAAATAAATAAATTTCAGGCTACTATTTTTATGAAATACACTTTAGTTGATACCATTTAGAGAAAGTTAGGGAAGAAATAAAAATAGCTCATTTTAAAAGCTTCAGCTAAGTATTTGATATTTATGCTGTTTCTCTTCATTCCTGGATGTGTATAACATTCCTTGATTCTTTTCCAAACCAGCCTGATTGTGCAAGCCACAGATAAAGGGAGACCCAGGCTTTCTGCTACGGCCACGGTCCGGATACAGGTGACTGACATAAATGACAATGCCCCAGTTTTTCTCCCCTCCGAAGCAGTAAAAATTGCAGAAAGTAAGTGTGGCCATTGAGAGTACTAGTTCTGGTTAACATATATGATATTTATCCTTTATAATTCTTTTCTGTCAGACATTGAATTAAATATGTGTACTTGTCCTCAAGATCTGCACAAGCTACATACTTTTTTCACGGATGGGCCTAAGTTAAATATCAAACGTCAAAGAAGTTAAATGTGAAAGTGAGGATTTGCATCTGGCCCAGGAGAAGTGTGTCCCCATCCCCTGCCTGGCACTCCTCCCAGCAGGCGTTTCTTCAGAACTAAACCTCCTCTGCAAGGAACGTGCTCTGCCGACTGTCGTAACCCTGTAAAACTCCTGTGAGAAGAAACAGTGCTCGCAGACTCATAGCTTTGTCAGTCTTTGCAAAGTACTAATGACAATACAGAAAGCAAATGGGGTGTTGGCTACCCAAAATCATCATTTTCCTCCAGAGTAACCTGAACTTCAACCTTTGCCCCACACTCTTCAGAGGGGTGGAAATATCAGGTTTTATTGACAGACTGATTCATCTTAATGGCTTGGACTTGTGGATTACATGACATTTCTCTTGTCTGTGAACCCAGAGTTGTTCCTGGTCATTGCCACAGTGGTGAAACCCAGCCCAATGCTTCACGGTTGAAGTTAAACACAGCTGAGGGCCTCGCTGCCTCTGCTTTCACTTCCCATCCCTAAACATTTCCCAATGTTTTATTATGTTCACTTTCCAGACAATTTCTAACCCACTTCTCGCAGAAGGATACATTGCAGAAATCTACTTGCCTAGAGTTTCTAAAGTATATTCTACAACTAAAAGTAACTCACTTGATATAGTTGCCCTCTTTCTTGTAGAAAGTACTATTCTTGAGCACAGACATTGGTGTTGAAATACAGTGGTGTGTCTAGTTTATTTTTTTTGCCTCATTGAGTTTATTGGTACAGTTTAGGGATACAGTACAGTTACATTCTTCATTGGGATCTTGTACCTCTACATGACAGGTCTTGGTTCTCATTTTTCCCCTTGTCCCTGCCCTCCCTTCACCCCTCCTCCCCTCCCCCTTTACGAACATTTTATTTCCATTTTTTCATTTTCTCCTATTTTGCCCCTTTTCCTTGTTACCTTTCCCCTACCCTTCCCACTTTCCCTACACCTTTATCCCTTTTCTTCCTATTTCACATTGTCATTTATCTCATTAGGATCTTATGTGCAATTATAGTTTTTTCACACCAGAGAAACTATTCGGTGTTTACACATGTGTGGCTTATTTATTTCACTTAGGAGTATATCCTTATAAAGGATGAGAAATTAGATTCATTCATAGGAAAATGGATACATATTGAGGATGTGTCTAGTTTAAATTAACCTAAGAACAGTGTAAATCAAAACATACCGAGGGAACTATGGTGTGGTTGATGTACATTAAGGATGTTCAAGCTTGAAAAATGGAAAAGTGTAAGTCTTACATACAGTGGAGCCATTCTGAGCACTTTGGTGCATTCCTTCCCCCTGCACCATACCTGTTTGCTCACAAACAGCCCCTTTTATGGACAGCTTACACCGGAGAAAGCACGTGGAGTGTGAGACACTGAGCATGCCATCTGTCTGTGACTCTTATTGCTGAATAATATTACAGTTTTTTCTCACCACCAGCACTTGAATGCTTTGTCTTTCTCTACTCCTGGTAATTTGGAGAATCAGATTTAAAAGAAGGCAGCACTCTAGGTGCTGCTCCCCAGAGTAGTTATACTAAAGTAAATACAAAGGTGTAAGTAGCTAATTTTAACACCCATAGCCAAACATTTTTATTTAAAGATAGCTTGCTTTTCAAAATTTTATGTTTTATATTAATGTTTCAAGTAATATGTTTCTTCCTACTCACCTCCCCTATGAATACCGTATATCATTTTGATAGAAATTGTAAAGTACAGAAAATTGTCCCAGGCTGTTTCTTGAGCCTGGGATTGTGTTGTAAGCATCTGGTGGGAAAAAAGTAATATAGAAATGAAATGTACCCTAAATTTCCTTAATTCCCTACTCCATCATAAATTTTCACTTTTATTTGATTCTTCAGATTTTTTTGTTTAGTTTATAATGAGCTTGTATGAGAAATCATGCCAAGACTGGGCACAGTATGTTGGACTCACAAATGAAAATACTTGCAGTGAATTATTAAATGTCTTTCAAAGGGTGGACTGTAATGGAGGCTGACGTTGGTCATGATTGTTTCAGATTCTTTGCCTGGTGTGATTGTGTCTCGGGTGTCAGCTCATGATGTGGACTCGAATCCAGCTTTTATCTTCAGTTTTGCAAAAGATGGCAATTCTGGAGCCAAGTTTGCTATTGATCAGCACACTGGAATAGTGGTCTTGGCAAAGACATTGGATTTTGAAGAAGTGACCAAATACGAGCTGCTGGTCCAGGTTTCTGATTCTGTGCACCACACAGAGGGGCCCCTCGTCATCCAAGTGTCAGATGTCAATGATAATCCACCAGTGTTTTCTGAAGATTTCTACCAGGTAAAGCACTTCAGCAGATGTTGAAGGCGTAGCCCATGCTAGTGAGAACAGGGAGTAGCGGAAGCCTCCCATCCATGACCTCCTGTCAGGTGACCTCCTGTCACATGACCTCTTGCAGTGTACAGTGTCGGAGTAAATGGCGTGGGTTTTAGACATATGACTGTGGAGTACATAGGGAACCAAGCTTTGTTCCGTTCAGTGTGTCAGGTGTGTAGGTGGTTATTATGTTTAAAGTTCTTATGGAGTTGGAGTCCCGTCATTCATTACAGTGGGACCTTGTTGACTATATTTGCAGGGCCACAGAGAGGGGAAAAGGGAGTTTGGATTATCCTCAGTTAACCTGGAAAAATTCTTTCCTAAGTGTATTTGTTAGAACACAGTGATTAATGTCTCACAGAAATAAATCCTGAGCAGATCTATAAAGTGGAAATTTTAGTTCTTGGCACATTTTATGTTTATGAGCATAAGGACAATGATAACATCCAACTAAGAAGTTAGAAATGAACCCCAGTGCTCTGGCACGTGGCACCTGCAAGACAGAAGGGAAGGGAAACTATCCTAGTGCAGCCTGTGAAGGCTTTCTTGAATTATAAAATGCATAGTGTATAATAATATAGTAGTGACTTGTGGCCTGTCTTTGGCCATGCAGAAATAACTTAAAAGGAAAATCTCTTGTAATAAAAAAGGAAAGCCAAGTGAAATTTCAAACATTTTCATTTTATTTGTTTCTGAGTCAAAGAGCCATGACTACAAGTTTTCGAGACGCTGGAGACCCAGCCCCACCCTTGCACACACCAGGCAAGCACCCCAGCCCTATCCTAAGTGGGCAACTGTATTAATCAGGAAAGTCAGTTTGCACTGTGTGGTTTCCACAATCAGTATCAGTAGAGTGACCTCATTTTTTGGACATTTCTGTGACAGTATCTTTAGCCTATAAGCATGACATCCTTTTTCCTCTTTTTCCCCAGGTCACAGTTCCTGAGTCAGTGCCCCTAGGGTCCTTGGTATTAACCGTATCAGCCACGGACTTAGAAAGCAATGAGAACATTTCTTACAGAATCCTTTCCTCCTCTGAGGAATTCTCCATTGATCCTGTGAATGGTGAGCTATTTATAGTGGCTTTCATGCTTACGAGTTTGAGTTATGGGGTGAAAACATGAAATAATCCTTTCCAAACACTCTGCAAATAGTCCCCTCCTCTGCCCTGTGGAATTGTGAGCAGCACCTTCTCATTTATCTTCATGTCAAACACTGCACTGACAAGTGCCAGTGTTATTTCCCTGCTCCAGCAGCTCAGTGGCTCGACAGCAAAAGGTAATTGTACTGCCAGTAAATATTCAGAAATCTGCAGACCCAGCACAGGGAGTTCATGTGTCTAGCCAAGCACAGCTTGGGCAGTTTTCCCAGGAAATCAACAAGATGATGTCAACAGGATTAATTCTGGACTGAAGACTTCACATTACTAGAATTGCGAAGGTGGTTTTTTTTTTGTTTTTTGGTTTTTTTTTTTGGTTTTTTTAGTAAGTCCAAATACAAAAATATTCAGCAATAGAATCCTATATTCGATAAGGACAAGAAGAATTAAGACAGGAAAATGACGCCAGCATCCATTTCTACTAAAAAACATTGTGTTCTGTTTTAATGATGTTTCTAAGGCTCTTTGTACTTCTCTCAGAGATCAACATATTTGTGTTTGTGAAATATGTTCAGGCATGTGATTCCACATCAGAATAATTAAACAGAGTACAGAGAAGGCATAACAATGAGTGGACATTAAAAGCTATTGTTTTTGCCAAGTGGGAAGGGGACCAAGGATCAAAGGGTATAGGGAGGCTGGGGAGGGGATGGAGAGGTCAGGAGATTGAAGGTCTGTTGTGTACATGCACCAGCTCCCACGAAGACTGTAATAATTGTGTACTGCAAACGTGTACTAGTAAAAGTTTTTTTTAATTGAATTTATTGGTACATTCTAGGTAGACAGTACAGTTACATTCATTACTGGGATCTTGTACCTTTACATGCCAGGTCTTGGTTCTCATTTTTTCCCCTTGTCCCCACCCTCCCTTCACCCACTCCTCCCCTCCCCACCTTCAAACACTTTAATTCCATTTTTACATTTTCTCATATTTTTTTCCTTTTCCCTTATTCCCCTTTCCCTATCCTTCTCATTGTCCCTAGACATTTGGTCCTTTTCTTCCTATTTCACATTGCTAATTGCCCCATTAGGATCTTGAGTACTATTTTAGTTTTTCACACCAGAGAAACTGTTCGGTATTTGCATATGTCTGACTTATTTATTTCACTTAGGAGCATATCCTCAAAATGAACCCATTTACTTATGAACGAATCTACTTTCTCATTCTTTATGGCTGAGTAGTATTCCATTTTATAGAAAAACCACATCTTCTTTATCCAGTTTCCGATTGATGGGCAGATCGGCTGTTTCCAAGTTTTAGCTATTACAAACTGTGCTGCTATGAACATGGGTGTGCATATATCACTGTGATATGATTCTTTCATTTCTTTTGGAAAGATACCCAACAGAGGGATGGCTGGGTCAAATGGAACCTCTAATCCTAGTTCTTTGAGGTATCTCCATATTGATTTCCATAGTGGTTGCACCAGACTGCACTCCCACCAACAATGGAGAAGGGTTCCTTTCTCTCCACAAACACGCTAACATTTGTTGTTGTGTGATTTCTTGATAGCAGCCATTGTTGTTGATTCTTCCTACCCAGGATCAGGGGATAGCTTTCCATTTTCTTATATCCTCCTCGATCTCTTTTTTCAGAGTGCTGTAGTTTTCAGTGTAGAAGTCTTTTGCTTCTTTTGTTAGGTTGATTCCCAGATACTTCATTTTTTTGGGTGTGATTGTGAAAGGAATTGTTTCCCTAATTTCTTAGTGAGTCTGTTGTTTGTGTACAAGAAGGCTTTGATTTTTGGGTGTTGACCTTGTATCCAGCTACTCTGCCAAAAGTGTCGATTAAGTTGAGAAGTCTTTTGTGCAGCTGGTAAAAAGTTTTTCCCACATTGTAGGTTGTCTCTTAATTCTGTTGATGGTTTCTTTTCAGTGCAGAAGCTTTTTAATAAGATGAGACC